TATGTGCCCATGGCATCCCATCCCTTACGTACCAGTACACCCTTTGCTCCCTTTCCGCACTGCTCGTACGAAAAGAATTTGCTGGTAAAATTTTTTTCCAACCCTTATGAAAAAGCTACCACCACATCCGCCCAAATACTTGGACCCTCCTTGTAAGGGTAGTTCGATGGAATTCCTCGAAAGTGGCCCGGTCGGTACACCCTGTTGCGTATAAGTATACTTAAGGGATGAAAGTGGCAAAAGCATAGAAGGGAATGGAGGATGAAAATAAGAAAAATTAGGCCTCGTACCATCCCACGGATTCTCAGGATATCGGACTCTGACCGTCTGTCAACCCTTCTGTCACTTACCCCCCTTATATCCTAGGGGTTGATACCCGCCGCTGGCAGCGGCCAGAGAAACAGATAATCCCAGTACCCTTCCACAAATCCATATGACTGTCCGACCCTGATGAAAATTGAGGGTGGTATCGTTTTTAAAAATGAAAAAAATCTTTACCCCCCCCCTCCCCCCCACTTCCAGCTTTCGTGACATTTAATCTCTCATCGTGTATCCTCCTGGTAACAGCATGAAAAAAAAAAAAAAAAACACAGTGGTGCCAACCTGGACGACTGAAAAGTCCCTGAGCTTTAACGTTCGGATAATTTTAATGAGATTGCCGAGTGAGAGGACGGCTGATCGGGGGGGTTAAAAGAAGGAAATAGGACAAGGACCAAAACTAAGGGCAAAGACATTGAAAAGACAGAGACGAAAGATAAGGATGAAAAAGTTAAGGAGGAATCTCTGTAGGGGTTCACGGCGACGTCAAAAGTCGTAGAGACGGACGAAGTAGAGAAAAAAAGAAAAGTATTTGAAAAGCAAAGAAAATTGTTCTTGAGACAAAAATTCTAGTACCTACCTATATCTCTATCCACTCGGCCATCTTTAACACTGCCCGATCCAGCTGCACGGGTACCCCGGCTTAGGTACTGCTGACTGAAATAAGTAAAAGGCTAATGACAAAAAGTTGAATTAAAATAACAATCGCGGTAAGTGGAGCGTCGTCGAGGGTGCTAGGAGATTTTTAAAGGGAATAAATGGAGTTGGAGTAACCCGGGCCAAGACGAAGTAAACGGGGGTCGCGAGTGCGAGGCTTCTTTAAATAAATTAAATGCCTTCTCGTCGTAGCGCCAAGAAGGGTGGCGGGCCATTGATTTTCGGAGAGAAATATTTTCAAAGTTCGATATATATGTATGTACAGTTCGCTGCCATCCATCTGTTGCTTTTATTCGCCATTTTTTAGCGGTCTAACGAAATAATGCAAAATTTTCCCAAACCATCCACTTTGTCCTCGATACTGAAAATATTTGCATGAAATACTGAAATATATATATATATATATATATATATATATAGGCGCCATAGGCGCATACGCTAAAAGCACAAACCGTAAACCGATTGTGCCCACGCGCCTTCCGCATTTTCCCCAGTAAAAATGGGGGTTAACGACGCTCCTTGACTATGAACAGCCACGTTCTTTCTGCTCGTCGCACTCGAATGTAAAGCGCGAATACTATATTATCGTGGTCCACCATTTTCCTGGCCATTTTCTCCCTCGGTACGTGCAATTCGCGCACGTTACTCCCATACACCTATAGATAAACGTACGTATTCCAGGGCCGGGGGGTCAGGGGGCTCTTAGGGGGCAGAAGCACTTCGAATCGATCGTATAGGGGAGGCTTTACCACGGCTATCAGTACCAGCGATACACATACAGAGCAGAGAATTCCTTTTAGGAGAGCGAGAGGCTCGTTGGATGAACTGCCGGATTCTTGGATTCCAAAGATAAACCGATTGCTTTGTCCTGAGTTCTCGTAGTTGTATACGGAAATATTTGTTTTAAACTCGTCAGGCAGGAGATCCGTGGTGGAAATATGGTATACTACATTTTATTGAATTTCAACTTGACAGCTACCACGTGCACGTGACTTTATAATTGAATTTTCAAAAAAAAAAATGTTTTAATTTAAATCTGAAGGTTTCGACAATTTTTTTTAATTGTCACATTTTTTTCTAGGGTTTTTAATACTGGGTGGAATTACGTCATAAATGTTTTTTTTTTGCATTTTAGATATAAATGTGGAACTCTTGAGACTCGGAGTGCCTTGAGAAATGTTTTTTACTATAAAATACAATATTTTATTTCGTTGGTAGTACTGGTACGTTAACGTAAGCTGGGGTAGGAGTGAGGGTGAGCTGGTACCAGGGTATATATATATATATATAGTACATGTACCAAGGGTCGAGGTCGAGTCCGCGTTATCGGACTTATTGGATTCTGGCTTCCTTTGTAACCTCGTCTGGAAATGCTGGATGGGATAAATGCGATGGCGGCTGTCAGAAAAGTAGGAATTCCCCTGGGGCGCTGTTGCGGCTGGCAGCGAAGGGGTTGGAGGGGAAAAGGAGGGAATAAGGAGCACGGTTGGAGGGAGAAGAAAGAAAGAAGGGTAGGTGGGAGTATAAATAGCGAGGGCGAGACTTAAGGGCGCCGCTTTCAAAAATAGAAAAATGATATTGAATTATTTAACGGGAAGACTCGGATTTACTTTTTGAAATTAATGATAAGAATTTTCAGAGATAATCTAACATACTTTAAAAGTCTTAATATCCGAGTACAGAGACATTTTTTGGTTAATTGTTTCGTTCTTAGGGTATAAGAAAGACTTAATCTTTTTTTTTTTTTTTTTAGAAAAATCGAGACTTAAAAGCCTCGATAAAATTGTCAACCAGTAATTAATCATCTGGATGGCAGTTGCTCCCGATTTCAGTGCTCGGGGCGAGAATCGGCTTCGTGCGATACAGGCAATAAAATTCAATTACTTTTATTAAATCCTTTTAAACTTCCCGCCATCAGACCACTCTGGATTCCTGTTTTACGAGCGACAGTAACGCACTACGCCGGACAAGTTCAATTGTTTTTACGTCCTGACTTCATCAGTTTGTTTCGTCGTAAACTCACGACAGAACAGTGATTGACCCGTACACCAATATCCTGCGATATATAAATTTTTGTAATAATACAGAGAGCAGAAGACAAGTGAAGTTTGAGAACGGTTTATAGGAAAATATGAATATTTCAAGAATGTTTTCATAAAGGATTATCCCTCACGATCCAGGCTGAAATAACTCTGAAAGGTAGTTACGATATAAGACGATAAAATAAAAGGCCCGTAGCCCAATTACAGAGCTTGAGTATTATAAGAAAACATTGACCAAAAATAAAAACTTATCCATTAACTTTGCCAGGTAATCCCGAAGCTGCACGAGATAATGAAAATTGATGGTATCTGCCGAATAAAAATACTTGTAACGGTGAGCGATGCGTTGAATTTTTCTAGGTAAAGCGAGTGGCGCCATCTCGCGGCACGCCGACGAACTACGTGAAAATGAACTGCCACATATTTCAATAGATTTACTCGAGGCACAATTCACATGCGACAAATAATAACAAAGATTCGTAACCTCGTAAGCATCTTCTTCAGCAGCATCGCTCGTTGGAAAAGTGTAAGTTTATCCATACGACACACTTAAATACCAATAATATTTATCAATGAGCTTTAAGAATCAAACGACGGAGTATGTATTGACAAATGAATAGAGTTATAGGAAGCGTTTAATAAGTTGGCAACTATTTGAACCGTTCAAAGCACCATGAATGATAACGCGAACGGGGTGGCTACGTAAGAGAAACTCGACGAGTAATTAACAAAAACAGCCAATTACGTGAGGCAGTTATGGGAACAATGCTTCGTCTTCCCAACAATGGCAGCTACTTCGTAGCCAGTTTCTGGGTAACTGGAGATTGCTCATAGTTTAGGTTGAACCAAGTGCAGAAGATATAGAAGAGGACAAGGAGGAGACCTCCTCTAACTGCTTCTCAGCAACTATACATAGTTGCAAAACGTCCCTCTACTCATTGTGTCCAGCGTTCTTATCTCAGCACAGATGGTTATACCACTAACTTGGCCCAGTTTACGATCTAATTTGTCCGACGGTACCGAACGTTTTCTAGCAACCCGTGCGTACTTTCTACAAACCATAAATTCTAGTCTCAACTTTGAGTTCCAGCAAGCAACTCTCTTCTCATATACCACCCTATGCTTACTTTAAATCTTAAAAGTCCTTGGGACTGCCTTTTTTTTAGAGAACCTCAAAGCTTCCAGTTTAATCATATAGAAAGAGGATAGATACATGGATATGCTATACAAAGATAAATGTTGTAAGAGAGTTGAAAAAATTTCTTTTTACAAGAAATAAAATTTCTTTACTTTGATCTTTAACTGATTTTTTAAAATGGAGATTATATAGGTTCACAGGTATCTGTAGTTTCCTATCTGTTTTATATTCACGATATCTGACTACGTCTCTATCTACTTACCGGAAGTGGAAACTGGAGGAACTAAATAAAGGAGTCCTGGGTACATTTAACAGAACGTAAAGCCGATGGAAAAGATAGGACCGTGAAGAACCCAACGTAATACCATATGGTATATATATATATACATATACTGAATCCTTCTTTCGGTACACACGGTATGCTCAGTAATACCCAGGACTATGTTCCACCACGACTTTTGTCCTTGCTCATTACTGTTTTATTTCCGTTCTACAGATTTCACGCTCTACAAGAAGAAACGCGAATGCGATACCACCCCAAGAGACTCGTCGAGACGGCAGCAACCAGTTCGCCTTTATCTTAATGTGAAAACTTGTTCTTTGACTTACATTTCATCCAAAGAAAATCTCCAGTCCTTCTAGAGACTCCGTTCCTTTAGTCCAATGCATTTTTTCCATGCTGCTCTATTACTTTTATTTTATATATAAATATATATAGTAATTAACCGTGCCTTCAATGCGGTACTGAACTTCGCTGCTCTGTACCTGGATAGTACCAGGGCCCAATATTACTACAGCCGTACCTGGTTTAGGTTATGCTTCCATTAGGTGGGGATACTAGTCATTAGCCAACCGTCCAACCAACGCCCATTGAATGACGTCAGACTGTGTATAGTGCATACACAACAAGTGTCTCAGCATAGAACGTGCCAGCAGAGCCGTTTTAGGCTCCGTTAGAATCTGAAATAAAATAATAACCATGTCAGGATCAGTTACGAATTTCAGTGTTCTCTTTGTGGCGTTGCTATCCATGACCATAGGTGAGTAGGAAGCACAAACATTTTCATAATAAACATCAAAACCTTACTGACAAGCAGCTACACCATAATTCCTGCTGGGTTGCGTCTTACGACCGTCTAGGGCAGCGCCATCTTGCAGACGCACCATGCCCGCATATTTCCTATCCGATGCACCGCATGTTACTAAAAACTTTCTTGCTCCTTATCCAAGGATATATTGTCCGACGGCTCCAGACCTCCACTTATCCTTTAGACTATGGAAAATGAGGACGAACAGTCCTCCCGTCATATTTGCAGTGGAGCAGCGTGTTTGAAAATGGTTGTCGTCGTACACTCCTGTGTATACATATAGGGTGTGTCCAAACAAACGGAATAGGTCTAACCCTAAAAAATTATACGTAAAATTAATTACAGCGATTTCATAAATTTCTTTTTACCACATTCGTTACGATTTTATTCTCAAAAAATTCCAAGATAATTTACCGTGTATGCAAATATAGTGAAGAAATTTTTATTACAGGATGCAATGCTATACGATGTTACCAATGCAGTTCTGATACTGATAAAAAAAGTGGAGTTGACCTCTGTGGCGCGTATACGAAATTTAACAAGGAAGAAAATATCCCTATAGAGTGCAACAGTGAGGACAGTCATATGCCTGGTTCATTTTGTGTCAAGATAACGCAGCAAAGTCCTCGAGGTTTTATCTGTGAGTTGTCAGATGCATTAATCGTGAATTAACCTTTATCTCCGGTGCAGCAGCACATGGAGATACTGGCGTGTTTGATTGTTTTAATTTTATCACTGTACTTCACAGGGGACGGCAGGTGGCGTCAAGTAACTCGGAGATGCGGCTCTGTCGCAAGTACCGGTGTTACAGGCGTTTGTAACTGGGGTGTGCACCCCAATGGTGTCTATTGGGAGGAGTGTTATTGCTCGGAAGACTCCTGCAACGGAGCGACCGGTTTAAAGTCGACAACTGCAATGTATCTTTCCTTAGTATTGCTAATAACGATAAGCATACTAAGTACTTGCTCTTAACTCACGACATTCAGAGCATGACATTAAGACTCGTTTGCGCAATTCCGTCCATCAAGACTATTACAAGTATTATAAGACTCTCAGACATGTACTTTTTATTATTTTACATGTTTGCTATATTTTTCATATCATAAGGCGACACTAAACTTTTTTTTTTATTACTTCAAAAAGATATAAATAGCTGCGTTTTAATTTCTACAGAATATCTCATGGATTTACATACCTGACCGAGTAGCTGCTTCCTGCAATAGAAAAACGAATCTCAAATGAAAATTATTTATTGTCAAGCAGTTTTATCGTTAAACTAAATAAGTGCAAAACGTACAAAAGAGCTTGGGACAGCTTGTATATAGCAAAGGCGTTATCTTTAATATATTATTACTACTTTTATAAATAACAAATATATCGTGCGTCTTGCGAATAAGAAATTTTATGTCAATTTCCATCTACAGATTATTGGGGTATTTCAAATGACTCTTGGGAATTCTCGAATCCTTGTACTTTTAACATACAGCGTGACAATATGTATGCCAAAGGATAAGAACCGATTCCCAGAGGGAGAAAAAAAATAACTGAAAATATGTAGAAACGTGTGAAAAAAAAAATCCAATTTTCTTCTTCAATTCGATTTCTTAGATATTGAGTGGATAAGGGAATTTGATTTTTATTGAAAGTTCTCCAGTAGCACACAAAATTCCTTTGAACATATACAAGAATACAGTCCACCGTCACCGTTGACGTAGATCGTGTTAATGCCAAAAATTCAACGGCTACGAGTTAATTACGTCACACGAGACTATTAATGCCCAGTAGAGCCGGCAACTCTTCGCATATAATGCTTTGTTATTTAGGCCCTTCCATATATTACGTCGCCGGTCATGCCAACCCTCGTTACTTGAGACGTTATAATTAAGACCTTCTGCCCCGTTACTGAGGGGGTTAGATGCTATTTTGGAATTTGATTTAGCACGGGGAAACTTGAGCCGCGATAACGGTGCGCTGTCCGAATGTAGGACTGAGTGGTGATTATTCAAGGAAACTCACCATGCCCAAGGAATCAATCAAGTTTATGAATAGCAGCCTTCGAGAGTCTATAAGGGGATACGGGTACATGAAGGTTGAGGAAAAATATATTTTTCATATCAACCCTAGTTACAGCTCTGCTAAAAAGATATGAAAAAAAAGACTTGTAATAAAATAATTTAATAAATCCTTTGTGTAGCATATACATATATATGTCTTAAAGATATTCAAGAACCATTCACTTCGCCACAAAGTCAAATTCGAGGAATTCACATTTGAATGTTCCCCTAGCGGCTAATCCCGGTACTAACTGCCTTGTAGAACAGTTTGTCGCTCTATGTGGTAACCGTAACTATTTTTCATGTCCTTACGGACAGACTGCGAGAGACTGTACAACGTGCCAGTAAATTTCACAGTATTAAGTAGCCAAGTTAATCCGTGGGACCCGGGCTTGGTTTTGGGATGACTTTAGTACTCATTTACGTGGTTATGTATGGGGATGGTCATTTGCAAAGGAAAGCGCTGAGGTTCCGGTAAAGGATGGCGTCGTTGTTCCTTCCACGGTTAGGCGGAACCTCGCTTAATTTTCAAACCTCGGTAAACCTGGCTGCGTTTTCGTCGTTATTACGCCGACGCTCACTTAATTAGCCACCACTGTGATAATTAACGCAAGACACCACCATTCGCCTTTGACAAAGTTCATACCCAGGAAACGAGCCACATACGATTCGCAGTGAACAAAAAAGAAAATTTCACAAAACCGGAAGCGTCAGGACTAAAAAAAAAGGGAAGTTGAACGAATCCTCAAGGCGGTAAGTAAGATTTGAATTTAAAATAACCGTATCCACCTACGTATTGTAACCTTACTTATTCTCAACACTACTGTTCCTTATCTTCTTTGGCTTTCTTGTGTTTGAATGAATCCCCCCTTCCCTCCGCCCTATTTCAAAGTTCATTTGAAACTCAGAAACGAGCCTTCCTCTTGAAATAACGTACTTCAACCGTCCAGTATATACAGGTATACAGACATCTCTTACCTGTTCTTCATAAATATTTAGCGCGATGCCCCCAAAGCCACCCAGTGCGCGAAATTAAATAAAGCAACCCGTTTCAGGCACAAAAGAATTTTCTTTTAAAGAGGGGAGAAAAAGGAGAGAAAAAAGTAAGAGGAAGAAAAAAAAAAGTGGGAGGTATTACTCTCCATTATGCGCCATTACCTTTTATGAATACAAAAGGCTACAAAACCCAATGCGCAGACGACCCAGTAAACACGAACCTGGTACACCGAAAGGATCCTACATTTATACGGAAGATGGGTACACGTGACTACTGAAGTACCTTTATGAATGACACTGGGTATAACGCGCTCCGACACTCTTCCTCCTGGCGACTAACTACTTCTGACTGTGCATAGGGTGGCGTCAGAGAGCAGAAATACCCCAGACTGAAGTTCGTTAATATTTCATTTGGGACTTCGCGCCCCATGAGACTCCGAGACTTTTCTCATCTCTCTCTTTTATCTCAATCATCGTACAGTCACGTTGATGTACGACTGTGACAAAATAATGAAGTATTATATACCAATAAAAATCCGTATACACATAGATACTTTTTGAAAATTTTCTGTACTTCAAATCGATTTTCTATAATTACAGAAAACACCGTTATCGCATCACGTTTACAACACGATTGATACGTATTCGACATATTCACCCTGAATAAAGTCCTTAATCCGACATGCACCAGGCATCCATTTCGAATAGAGGATAAAAGCATAGAAAGCGTAAATAATTCAAAGCCCTTTAAACACAGTTCTCTCATTTAGGAACACACGACGAAAATTTTATTGGACATATTTTTTGACATTAAAAAAATGCCTTACTGTACAATCTCAACGATCGTAATATCCATGTAACGCTACACCCCAGGCTGTAGGTAATTTTCGTGTAAAAGCCCGTTAACGCGGCCATTGAGGAAGAATATATATTTTGTTTAATGGGATTGCTGGGAAAATATGTCACAAGCATGGTTACAGTTACGTCCTCCTGCTGTTGCGTCATTCTAACCTATATCTATATCTGTCAAGCATGTTCTCTCTATCCACGTACACGTAGGTTTACCAACAGGACGGTAAATATGGAGAAGGGTCCAAGTTGACGTATTCAAGGGACAAGAGAATAGGGCGAACTGAAGAAGGGATGAAGAGGGTACGAGGGAATGTGAGGAAGTACGGACGTATAAGGGATGAAAGTTGGCTAGGATCGGGTAGTGGAGGTATAACCTGTGTGTATATGTATACTTATCTACTGCGCTTTAAGACTTTAAAAACAAGGAGCACTTTCCTGGCATTGTTTCAAGAGCCCTCTGACTCCCTTTTCTGTTTACCTTACGGATTCTAAGGGAGTGCGTTTCGATTGGATAGCTCCGAGGGTCTGCGATGCTTAATTCTTCAACCCATTCGATAATGGTTTCGCCGTGCATAATCTAAAATCACGAAGTAAATTCAAAAACATATATTTCCCGTGTAAAATGTATTTTAGAAAGTCAGTCAGCCTCGTTGACCTCATCGAAAGTAAATCAGTCGTGTAAAACTTGAATCGCTACTTACCGACACGTCCCTGCGAGACGTTGAAGTATAAACAACGTGGCAGGCATATTAAAACACGCCGATACTTCGATATTAAAGTTGAAGCGGTAAATCAGCAGGTCCGACAGGAATAAAGGCAAACAGAATATGATTTATTTAACTTTCGTGTCAGACAGCTCGATGCAGCCTGTCTGTAATAAATTCATTCAATGCTTATTATGTCGTTAACCAGCCGCCATGACAGTTTTTAAGAACAAACTGCGTACGTCATAGTTAATATTTTTGAAATTATTTTTACCATCTAGTAATTTTCAGCACGTGCTTATATTGTCTTAAAGGAATGGCAGATGCATCGATTCACGCTAAGAATATAAGTGGGCGTTCTTACCTTGTGTTTTGTCCTGAAGGAATAAGCGTCTTCCTTTTTTATCCTGAACGAAGAAGAAGGAGAGTAAATCAGCTCTCTGGGGATGTAATAATGGGAGGACCCACCTAATTGCATCCCTAACCCTACGCAGCACCTCTTCTTTTTTAAACGAAGACACATTGTTAAAAGTGCCTCTGCTGTTTCGCCCCTGATAATTTATTTATTCTGAACTCAGCCCCCCGATGCCCAGGCCTCCCGAAACTTAAATCGTAACGGGAAGGATCACTGGGAAGGTCTTCCCGACTCTGTGAAAGTTGAATGTAAGTACAAACTCAATTTCCATCGCTATTCGCACTGATTCCACGGACTAATTTATTTAGACGCGATCCGGATTATCCTCTGACCTATATATATATATATATATATGTATGTAGGTATACAAATGTAATATGTAACTTTGACTTTAAGTTGGTACCTCTAAATTTTCAGGACTTCAAATCTTGCTGTCACGTCAGAAGACTCCGCGTCAATTTTCAAACTTGTATTAACTGACGTCACGACTCGCTACCGAAATCCCTCTCTTTCTATTTCCTCCGAGAGAAAATCAGCAGCCGTCCTTTGGCTACCTGGAAAATATCGAGCACATTATTTCACTGGAATTACAGTGGAAAGCTGATTTAATGTAGATCTGCTGTAACAAAAGTTTCGGGGGTTAATAATGAATTTTGAAATATTTAGACGTACCTGTATAAGAAAACCAACCACTTAGCTGTTATAAAATGCAGGATAATAAAATGGGAAGAATGAGAAGGAAATGAAAAATTTTAAATTTGTACAAGACACCTTTAAATGAAAAAAAAAAAAACAAGTTTTATATGCTAGTTAGATTGTATCTAGTTTGTCCATATCTAATGTAATATGGAGTGTTACTTTGTCTGCCTTAGCCAAGAGAAACAAGAGCTGTGTTAATTAATTCATGAAATGAATAGCTGATGATGTACAATTTCAAAGTGAAATCAAACAGACCCAACCAGAAATGACCGGTTGTACAAAGCCAAGGATGGTTATTAAGAATGAATATGAGCAAATACGAAGTACAAAACATATTAATTATACGTAAAGATAACGCGACGGAGAGTAACATTTTTTACGGTGTTTAATGTATACAGTAATATTACCATGACTTTTCAATTATAAGACTAAAGTTACTCTATTTTTGCTTACCTTTCTTTGTGTCGCGCCACCGTACTACAAAGAAATCGAGGTAGTTCTGTTTCACCAAGATAGGATGATACTGTAGATCCCTGTGCTAACCTGCGAGCTCCGATGTTTTATTTGAATGTCAAATGAAATGAGGGACAATAATGCTACTGTAGTCTTCCTTGATAACCCTCTGTAAAAAGGTAAGAGAGTACAGAAAAGAGATATGAAACTTTTCGAGGGCCGAAAAGCAGGGGCACTTCGTAATCCGTAATGCTTGGTCATAAATCTTCATAAACAAAGATGAAGAATGAGCTAAAGAAAGTAACAAAGTTAGCAAAGTATTGCCACGTGAGAATACCATTCTCAATCTACGTACGTGGAAACATTTTCTTTTAAACGTTTTAAGATTTATTTTCTTCCCGGGTAATAGAGCTATAAGTTACGGAAATTAAAAATTCCACCAGAAAGAGGATCGTTTAACTTGAGACATATTTTGTTATCGTTGTCTTTCTCTTATTCATGTAAAGTCTTGTAGGTATGTCTCTCTCGCACTAGTAGTGAGTATAGGAAATATAAAAATAATCTGAGACCCAGGCCTTTCGTTGATTGTTCGATCGAATATGTAACTATGGGATAAAGGGAAATTAATAAAGAAATCTTCCCAACATTGACTCATCTAATTGAAAAACGTGTAACAATACTTTTGATGAAAAGAAAGATAGGGTTACCAGGTGGAATAACATGACATACATATGGGACTGAAAGAAATGGGAAATTTGTCAAAAATTTTTGAATAAATCTAGGAAATTTTGTTTCATTTCTACAGTTGGCTGTATTACTTGCGCAATTTCATTGCGCTGTGATACAAAATAAGATACCTGGAGAATAGGACTTTATTCTGTGTCGTGATTCCCCTGTTTAACTTCTGTCTGCACTTTCTTGCTCCATGGAAATTCGTGCGAGTTCGTTTGCGTGTAGTTGCGGTTAGGTACATCAGTGTCGAACAGTGCAGGAACAAGGATTCCAGTGAATATTTATTAATGATGAATATCGCAGATGGAGCAGGACTTAATCGATATGAAATAGTAATGTTAGTAGCCAGATTAACTTTGGTTACAGCAGTCGGCTATTTCAGTATGAAGTGGATGATGAGCCATTTAGATCCAACATCAAAGGCTAAAAAGAAAGCTAAGGAAAAGGTTGAGCAAATATTCTAATGTATTCTCGTGTTACATATTATAGCAATCGATTTTACCAAAAGTGTAGAATATGCATTTTCGTACACATAACCTCGCCCCATGTATCACATGTTTTATAATACTCTTTCTTGCTTACTAATCCTAGAACGGTAAGATGACGTCATTGGCGATACAAATTACATTTTCACCACACATAATGTTTTGCCTCACTGTTCAAGGAATAAATTCACAAATAGTTAACCTGTCTGCTTATTATGCTTTTTTTTAGTAATTGATATAGATGTTGCAGTAGTTTCATACATAACTTTTTCATTGCATTATGTAGGTCATAGGAATGTGATGCAAATTTTCCATATTTCAGGCAAGGACTCAATTAAAAAAGTTAACTAGAACAGAAAATTTAGCTATATCGATAGATACTGATCAATTGACTGATTATGAAATGATGATTGCAAGTCATCTTGTTGATCCTAACGATATTAAAATTTCATGGGGAAATATTGCTGGCCTCGAACATGTTATTCAGGAACTTAAAGAAACTGTTATATTACCTATTCAAAGGAAAGAACTTTTTGAAGACTCACAGCTAACACAAGCACCGAAGGTTTGCTAATGTTTCAATAGAGTGATATTAGTATTTTATTTTTGAAACAGGATTACTTACTGTTTACAATTTCTAGGGAGTATTGTTACACGGTCCACCAGGATGTGGGAAAACAATGATCGCTAAAGCAACAGCCAAGGAAACGAGAACAAGCTTTATCAATTTAGATGTTAGTATTTTGACTGACAAGTGGTATGGCGAAAGTCAAAAACTGACAGCAGCAGTATTCTCTTTAGCAGTAAAACTACAACCCTGCATAATCTTCATTGACGAAATAGGTTAAACTCTATTACCAGAAAATAATGTCATTTCCATACTGAAAAAGTATAGCAAATGCTTTTTCAAAGCGATTGCAAATAAACGCCTCCTATAAATGATTATATTACAGACTCCTTTCTACGAGCTCGCAACGCACAAGATCATGAAGCAACAGCGATGATGAAAGCTCAATTCATGTCTTTATGGGATGGATTAATAACTGACCCTTCATGCACTGTAATTGTAATGGGAGCTACAAACAGACCACAAGATTTAGACAAAGCCATACTCCGAAGGATGCCAGCGACTTTCCACATTGGTTTACCTGTAAGAATAATTCCTTTATTGTTACCCTTTGCCTTATTCAAAAGTTTATGAAACTACAAAAGATAATTTGTCCAGAACGAACAGCAACGCGAGCAAGTAATTCATTTAATTTTGGAAAACGAGCCCATATCTGAGGACATAGACACGAAGATCCTGGCTAAAATGACTGAAGGTTTTTCTGGTTCTGACATACAGGAACTTTGTCGTAATGCTTCTGTTTATCGCATCAGAGACTACTTACGGAGTCACACACAGTAAGACAATCACTTATGTAAACATTCGAATATGCTATTATCCATATGGTGGTCATGGTCTCATGTGGTCTTTTAAAACATTGTAAAATTATTTAACGTAACATTGTGGTTTAGTGTGATAAGATTGTGTCTAAAATTGGTATAAGATTATTTGTATCAGACAAAATTTTATTTCTCCGTCTTACAGAGAAACGTCATCGAAACCTCATGTATCTGGAAGTACAGACGATGAAGAATTTCATGATGCAGTACGTCCTATCACAATGGATGATCTTGTGACTTCAATGAAAAAAATGAGGAACGCAAAAATACACACGGGGAGTCTCGGTGCAGCTAAAATAGATTTAGATTAATGATTAAATCCTTTTTCGCGTTATCACGCTGGTTTAACATTGAGTGAAATATTGCATTTTGTTTTCGGTATCTTTCTCTTTCCTTTTTTTTTTTGTTTATTTTTCTTTCTCCTAGGAATTACTCACAAGATCATGAGTTTTACCCACGTAACGTCCTCCCTTAAAGTCGAGTCTGCGGTATTTATTCATCATATTGGACATGACCGAAAATTGCGGAAACCAAAGCACCTAATTGCATCGAGATTTTTTTAACAGGGTCACCCAGATCGATAATAAAATAAAGCGAAAAGATGGTCTCTTTTGTGCCTATTCTTCATCATAACTATCGAATACTTTAAAACAGCGAAAGCGAATGAGTGAGAAAGCTCTTATTTAAAATAATAATAATCTTTGAAGAAGACTGTGCTACACATAGCAGGCAACATTTTAACATGTTAAAATGTGCATTTAACCATTATTCGTTTTGATTTTTATTTCAAAAATACTGTTCCAAATTCAAACCTAACTTAAAACGATGCTAAACTATAGCATAGAAGTACATGTTAAAGTTATTGATAGGTGCTTAAAAATTCCGGAGTGAAATTATTTTACGAGTCTCTTGCAAGATTCTCGTGCGATCTATGTACAAAAAAATAGTAAAACAAAAAAGAATCTGTTTTTTTTCGAAATGGTATTTCGTATCTGTCTTTCAATTTTCACTATCATATGAACCGTCTCATAAGCAAGTAAAATTGGTAATAATATAAAAAAGAAAACGTTAAAAAACTGTTTATAGGATAACATTGTTTTTCTCCATCTATAAAACATTGCCAATTGTATGTGATCGGATTAAATTATTATACGACTTATCGTAAAAACAAGAACAAAAAAGCATACGTAACAAAAAGTCAGAAATAGGTGTACGATAAGGACGAGAACACACGACTGTTTTATTAGGATTTATATGGCCGATGACCGAGAAATTATAAACGGATGTCGGCAATGCTTGGCATATATTTTATCATATTCATTTTCAAGATAGGACAGTTTTGCTATATAACCGTGAACAGTATGAACACCCATTAGCGCACGGGTGAACTCTATTTTAATTAAAGGGGTAAAAACCGTACATTTCTTTTTTATTCGACTCATCAATTATTTGTTCATCTGATTATAACACGTGGAAAAAATTAGATTAGATAACTACACTATTTTTTCAACGTCTTGGCAAACCTTGAGAATACAGTACAATGACGCGAGAAGGATTATAGTGAATTAATTATTAACACAAAAATATCTACCTATTATCGCGCAATAGTCATCTGTGCATCAAAATTCATTATTTAGAATAAAAGATCAATTTTTTCAATATCCTATCGATTCATTTTTCTCATATTGTATATAAGAATATTTATAGTTAAAAAATGCATGCTGAGAATGACGAATAAATTTTTGTGCAACAGAATGAAATAATGAATTATCATACCGAGTCATTGAATTACTATATTAGGAATTGTTACAACTTGCATCATAATCCACGATATGTTGCGTGCGATGGACGGCGTGTACTTGGAAAAATTGCTCAAATATTAAGACGCAGCCGAGGTGACTAACGATAACCGAGACTATATACTTACGTTCTTTATCTTTTATCAGCGATATTGTAATCGTTCAGTACGTCTCACTCAAGATTAGAGTTTTATTGGTGCAGTACGCGATATCGGAGATGCAGTAGCCGGCACTGTACGAAGACACGACTCAAATAGGAGCATCGAAACGATTATGGCATTTGATAATGAATCAAATGATAGTCTATATAGATCATCGATACCCAAATTCCTGACGAGAATCAACAAGAACCTTGAATGGTAAGTTTAATAATCAATTATCAGTTGCCTGTCATCTCTTATGCAAATTTTATAAGGCTGAAACAAGGTAGTACCAAATAAGTACTTCCAAATAACATCGTACTATCCGTTTCCTTCAGTCCAAATCCCTGTTTAGTTTAAGTTTCTTGTTTGATTTGACTATGGCATTCGAGTAGAATGTGATTCAGTGTGCGGTAACGAAAGAAATAAGAGAGTTATTGTATTTGAATTTGGCAGTATATTTACGAACGTACAAGCGCCGATTAAAATAGTTCCTTTGTGACAGCTAGGTCAAGGACGTTTATCATTATTTTCATGATTACATTGAATTCCCGGTAAATGGACAAGGAAAATTGCTTCTTGTTCGTGTCATTTGTTAATAGACGTAACGCATTTTCGATAGTGTCGATATTCGATGTAAAATGATGCCTGGATAAAAAGCACGTGGATCCGCGTAGTAAGACAACTTTGGTATTGTGTACGTGCCAAAGTTGTTGGAAACAAGGTTGTCAGTCTCAGCTGCGCATCGCGCTTAACAACACATCGTGTAATTAGAATTGGTTTAAAAAAGCCGAATTGCGAGAGTTTTAGCAAGAATTTCAGATCATTTTACTCTAAAGAAATTTCTATAACAAAGCTCTTAATCCAAATATGCAATTGTTATTGGGATATGTACTGAATCTACTAACACAAACTGTTGTATTTAATAAAGTTAGAAGGCTAACATAGACCTTATCAATTTCAATTACCAATTTGTAATTATCTGAAATACATGTTCGAACGCTACTAGCTGTGACAAGGATATCCTTATTCCTTAAAAGGAGCCACATGGGTTATCGAAAGCAAGTAAAGAAATTAAAATATCCTGTCAGTATAAAAGTAAAAGGTTCCTTCCTTTCCTTGTGGCTGACTCCTCCAATGAGGAGATGTGCCAGAAAAGGAAAAGGTTAGGATTACATTATTAGCATCATGGTAACAGAACTAACCTAGCTCACTCGATCAACCATGATCTATCTCAGTAGAGTGGGACATGTATGGTATGCGCATGCGCATGAGATAACAGAGAGAGTGCCGAAGCGCCCTCATCGTACAGTGAGAATTTCCGGAAATGAAAGCCGCAACAGGACAAAGCCCGTAGCCTCCCTTGTAATGCCGCAGGGCCGGTGGCGCTCGGCAAGACGGTATTTCCTCGCGTACATCACAGAACGTAGTGGAGAGTGTACAGGAGCATTATGGACGCCTTTTCGTGAACAGTGTTCGGGACGGATAGGAGAGAGAGGAAAAAAAAGTCAGTGTCGACGATAGTAATGTCGAGCGCGGGTTGGTCGAGAACGTGCATGAGATGGACGCTACGAGGAGCACTTCCGCTCGCTAATTAAACGCGACTCCTTGTTCCTCACGGCAGTCCTTGCCGTCCTCGCACACTGACGCTTACTATAGTGTTGTACGGCGCGAGCGTACTTTAAATAATGAACGTGATTGTCGCTCGCTGATACACCTGAAAATTTCCCAAGTACAGTATCGCGGGAGCACGCGAAATACTTTGTATAGAAACCGACTCGACGGACTCACGGACGTCGCCAGCACCTGCGGTGCACGTTCCGATGCATTGTTGGTGAGTGAGTCTCTGTGAAGATACTCTGTAACACAAGCTGGTGCTTATCCACAGCTTTGTGGCACACCAGGAAACGCTACTCTTAAGAACGGTGTCACTGTCTCTCATGCCTGAAATTATTCCTGTCTCTTTACTCTTTCACAGACTGACTGACTGACTGACTATTCTCTAGGTATATCTTTGCCTGCTTCAGTATATATGTATATCTATATATCTATGCAACTGCCTCTGTGTCTGCTTCACTGACTTACTGATTTCCTCTGTCTACATATCTATCTGTGTATCTCTATCAGCCTATCTGGTTGCTTGACTTCCTGCACTGTTTGATCACGTATGCCTGCACGAACGTCGACCAATCTTATGAAATAACCTTAGAAACGTATTAACCCCTTGTGGTTTTCTTTCTTAGTATCACAATAGTATTTACCTTGAATGTACTCAGGGTTACGCTCAAAGGGAATAAAAATGTGAGAATGTGATAGAACAAGTGATATCACTGGTGTATTGAGAAAAGTCGAAGGAGTTAAGGGTAAACGGAAAAAAAATCTGTACGCGCACATCTCTTGCCTTTGAGGATAAATGTTTCCAGTGTTAGAAACTATTTAAGCCGCCATGAAGATGCATGGTGCATCGCGCGATGGCCGTGCGAAAGTGGGAGTGTCGCTAACGTCGCGTCCGAACATGGCTCGAAGGTTCCCAGGACGGTCGTCGTCGTCGTTGTCGTGTGTGGCGTTGAAAAGTGAATTTTTGACACCTCGTGTGTCGTGATGTTCCTTTGCTTCGGTCGACAATAACACTTGGGTATATTCCTCACGTCGCGGAATATTCTACGCGAGTAACGTTCACTTGATATTTGTGTGCTTTGGAATATCGTGAGGAGACGAATTGGACAATTTTCTAAGAGCTACTCTTGGTTACTGCTGCACTCTGCAGCTTCGCTTCACGACCAGTTGATTTTTGGCCGCGTAACCAAAGTTTATTGCTATGATAGAGTTCGCGCTGTTCTCCTTCTTTTGAACGGTTTCTTTATTTTTTTTTTTAAATATCTCTCTCTGGTTCTTTGCTTTCTTTCTTTTATTTTTCAAGTTGCGAAGCTGACGTCCAGGGAGAGAGTCAGGATGTTTCGGTAAGCTTTCATCACTCGATATATTCAACGTATAACTAACGAATCGCCGCTTTGTCGAATGCTTTGTGCTTTCCGGGGAATTATTCTTCCTTTTCTTATGTTTTCTTTTGTAATCGTTATTAAGAATAGTCTGTTTCTTTGTTTGCAATGTAGCAAACTATTTTTTCGATTATTTTGGAGGCTAGATGATACGTGTATTACTTTTGTAATGTAGTTTTTAATGGTGCTCTCTTTGTGGTTAGTCTCTATGTTGAGAATTATTTTGAAGATGGTGTATTTTTTTTTCTTGATTATTTAATGCTTTTATATTCAACAGATCATTTTTATAGGCATAATCTTGGATTTTTTTTCGACATCTCTTGTCATTATGTGGTTAAAGTAATTTCTTTATATTCAGCGATCATCAATGGACTACTTACCATAAACTGTGTTACAAAGTGCGTATAATATTGAAGTTATAATTGAAACATCGTTGATTTTATGACCTTTGATATACAGTGATTTATAGAAAAAACTGTCTACAAAGTCTACTTTAAAGGAATATTGTATTTACTATCATTGACGATAAAGAAAATCTGTGATATAGTGTACAGTATACGTAAGCTATTCGTCACATGATGAAAGTACATTATACGATACGCCATCAAAGACTTATTAAATACTGTAAAGGTTCTTGAAATGTTTTTGAAAAATGCAACACTGATAAGACATAACTCATATCGCGATTAGAATTCATTTAGTACATGATACAGCATTTAATAAATAAATTAAAGAGTGGTTCTGTATGTATCTCTGTAGTTATATGTCTGTGATCATTTTGAAGGTGATGGTGACCAGTAACTCTGTTGGCTTTGTGAAAAGTTTCTGTGCATCAGCTCTTTTTGATAAGTTATAACACTTGGAAATCATAGAGATGTGTTAAGCTATCAGTCACCCTTTATTTTTGTGCTTCTGCAACCAGCAGATACCCCTTACATTTGTACAATTTTCAAAGAAACCTTTGGTAATGATAATTGTCCAAAATGTCAAATGGAATTTACTATTGTGCAACAGGCTTCCAAAGGCCACCTTTGGTTTGAACTGGTGTTGTTACGATAATTGTGGTAAGGGTACGGTGGTGCTTGTGATACTGGTAAAGGCAAAGACAGCAACAGTGGTGGTGGTGACAATGACAATGTTGATGGTGATCATTGTGGTGACGTTTGAGTCAAATGATGACTGAATGACAACAAGAGCAACAGATGTTCTGAGTCTCCACAAGATGGATAACAAGAAAACCCTATGCTCTGCGAATTGATGGGTATATGCTTTTCCTGCAGGAGACCCACAAGCAGTAGACTGAACAATAAGATCTCGGAGCACATATCGGCATCGGTAACACCTCTCCATGTTTGTCTGGAAGAACAAAGAGGACCAGAACTGGGCTCGTGTGACGCCACGGCTCGCAAGTCACAGGTACAGAAAAGCTAAATACTACTTGACTTAGAATTTTAATTTCTAGCTTATATGATAAGTCGTAGACACTGATAATTTAATAATAATGTCGGACTAATATACCAGCAAAAAGTTACTCCTCGTACTATGCAATACTATAATTATTATTCGTTCAGTTTAAAGGCGCCCAAGATTATAAGGGGCAAGACGAGAGAGAGAAAGCATCGGTATCACCGATAGACGGAGAATTGAGAGTCGAATTGAAGCAGCAGAGGATGGCCAACACAATTTCAAATATGAAGGTGACCAACCCCATAAAGGGGCTAGTAAGCAAACGCCGTAAACGGTTCACCGAAGACGGTTTCGACCTTGATCTCACGTGTATCCTTCTCAAAAGTAAAACCTTATAGGATTTTACAGTCCCACATTTTATGTGGGAAACATGATATGGAATATTTACTTTTCCATACAAAATATTTTCCTTAATGAATTTCTATCCATCGATACAGATATAAGAGATAATTTAATAGCAATGGGTTTTCCTGCAGAGAAATTAGAAGGAGTGTATAGAAATCATATTGACGACGTGGTAAAATTATTGGAATCCAAGCACAAGGACCACTATAAAATTTATAACCTGTAAGTGCACATTGTGATACTTTTTCAATGAGTCTTGCCTAATACATTAATAATATCATATTTATCATATTCATAGCTGTTCTGAGAGGACGTACGACTGCAAGAAGTTCAAGCAACGGGTAGCCACATACGCGTTCGACGATCACAACCCACCGTTGTTGGAGCAGATCAAACCCTTCTGCGAGGACGTTCATACGTGGCTCATGGAGCACAGAGACAATATCGCTGTCGTTCATTGTAAAGCAGGCAAAGGCCGAACGGGCGTGATGGTTTGCTGCTATCTTCTACACAGTAAACAATTTCTCACAGCTACGGAGGCCCTCAATTATTATGGAACCAAACGGACGCACGATAGGTACGTCCCGGGTAAACATTGATGGTACCAAACTCTGATGCACTTGAATGACAATGGAGTATAGAATATTAGTCTTTCCTTGGGTTTATCTGACTTTCCTTTCTATATGTTTAATTAGGAAAGGCGTGACGATACCTTCACAACGGAGGTACGTCGGTTATTATGCTTCTCTAGTTCAAGAGGGGCTTAACTACCAACCGGTCACACTGATCTTGCGTCAAATAAAATTGGATCCAGTACCCATTTTTAATGGTGGCCAAGGCTGTAAGTATGTAATAATTGGAATGCACCGGGGAAACAGTATCACCCACAATCATAAAACACTCCCCGTGTGTTTGTTGAGATTCTCAAAAGGAAATATTCGTAGAGACATTGGATATTTGACTGTATAAATATTATTTTAGACCTGCATTTTATGATATCCGAGTCCAACAAGAGGATATACAGTTCGGACGTGTACGAGGTACGGAAAGGAATGCATTCTATCACTATTCCTCTAGAACGCAGTATCACCATCACCGGTGACATTCGGGTGGACTTCTTCAATAGGCCAAAAATGAAGAGAAAAGTAAGCACCGACTTTCCACTTCATCCTTCCCACTTTACTTTCTCGTCTAACCAATTTTTCTCATTGACGTTTACCGCTTTATCGAGCAGGATAAGCTGTTCCATTTCTGGTTCAACACATTCTTCGTTCGCGACCACTTGACATCCGAATACGACAATGGTGACGTGCCCGTGGAAAGGTCAACAAGGGCGTTAAGCTGCGACGGCACGGCTATGGAACTACCGATGGTAGCAACCAATGCCAAAGCAAGAACGGGTTCCTTAGCAAGTCTCGGACCTATGCCACCTACCCTCGTCTTGAGTATAGACAAGTGGGGCTTGGATGACGCACATAAGGATAAACATCACAAGCTCTACAGTGCCGACTTTAAGGTTAGTAAATAGAAGCAAGATCCTCCCCGGTGTCGTCTATCTATTAAAAACAAAAAAAAATGAAAACCTTTCCCGAAGCCAAATAAACAGCGCCTCATTGTTTAATCGCAGGTTAGTTTATTCATGCACCACGTGGGTGGCAGTATCTCGCCGGCAGTGCCGGCGACTGTTACGAGGACTAGTGAAGGTGTACAAATAGGTGGAATGGTGGGCGGTCAAGAGACGCCAAGTGAGTCCAGCGAAGCCGATAGCAGCGAAAGCGACACGACAGGTGACGAAGATGGTTGGGAATCGGGTGAGTCTTCTGCATCTCTCGTGGTTAATCACCATCCTCTTACACACAGCAGTAGCCACACACATGCCAATACCCACCATCGAGTTAGCCTCAGGGAAACTGCCAAAGGGTTTCTGTCGCGCGGGGATAAGGGTAGGAATAGTCACAGGGAGAGCACGACGACCGTCAAGCGTTCCTCGACGTTCGTACGCACGAGCACCCTCGATACATAACCATCAATTTCACATTGCGGTACTTAATAGCGTCGTATTTCATCGATCAGGATTTACAGTTGGATCTTCTCATCGAGTCCTGTACAGTCTATTAACGTAGGGGGACACCCTCTGTATTGTCATTTCGCAAATACAAAAATCAACGTCTCAAGGATCGTCCCGCGGGGACGCTCCGATTAATATATTATTAATAAATAGCGCGTTACGTTTTATCGCGATGATTAACGTTACGTTGCAAATTATTATTATTATTCTTTGTTTTTTGTTATCGATCTGACAAGGAACGTCTTATCTCCTTTGGTTTAATCGAAGGATACCCTTTTTCTCTTCTTCTTCTCTTACTGTTGGTGTTTTTTTTTTCTTTTTCTTTTTTTTAATTTTACTTTTTCATCTTCTCCCACCTCTCCGCACTCTCTTTCTCCGAGATCGTCTCACGAGACGTCCGGGCACCTTAGAATTTTTCGATATTCAATTATTGGAGGGACTACGGAATCCCATAAAGGGACGCCAGACACGTAGTTCGCTGATGTTAATTAAGTTAGTTACGAATACTTGTTTTTATACTGTCCCACGTCTCGTGTCTCGTCGAAGCAGAAAATTTAAAAGTCACTCGCGTATTTATCACTTTTGATCCAAAAAGGAATGACGCAACGCGATATATGTCGTAAAAGCCCAGATCTCTTTTCTTCCTCTGCCCGACTTCTTGATGTCTTCTCTCTCTCTCTCTCTCTCTCTTTTTTTTTTCGTAGTTTTTAGTCTCGTCCCTAAATCACGGTCGTCGTGTCACGTAGATAGCCTAATTATAATATCATCGCCCGCTGTTCCTGGCGACATATTGTATTATATTAAACGATTCGCGCGAATTGTACAAAATATCCATAAACGATAATCGCGATTGCAAATATTATCAAGGGAATCGGATTGCTCTAACGAGATAAACCGACTGACGGTAATGCAAACGAGAAATATACATATATATTTAATTTTTGTAAGCGTTCGCGGGAGTTCGCAAGGGAAAAAAAAAACAATATTGGATTTATAATAACATTGTAGATTGGGGGCGCAAAGGTTGTATCACAGGGCGACAAAATTTCGCAAGGACAAACAACAACATAGTTGTGCATTGATCTCTCGAAAAGCGTGCCTCGATATGTCATTGTACGAGAGTTCGTCTTTTTTTGTCTTTTTTTTTTGTCGAATCCCTTAATTTTATCGGGTCCGCCTTTTTTTTTATTACTATTATGTTCGCAATACCGTCACACGCACGTGCGTTTACAATTATCCTTAATTACTCACTCTGGGGACCTTGATCGCGGAAATATCAGCAGCGCACGTAAAAAAAAAAAAAAAAGAACTCTGTAATTCACGATAATCGTACAATCACGTAGTTACAAGCTAGGAAGTAATTTCCTGTTTAGGCTCCCGGTGTAACACATAAATCATAGTAACGTAACGTAAGTAACGTAAACGCCACTAACGTATCCCGCACGCAGTATACGAAAAGTAGGAATTCGCCGGAAGTCGTGTTTTCCCATTGAATTCCGTATTTAAAAAAAAAAAAGAACTAAGAAAAAGAAAATGCGAACACTCGCACAACCAGCGCTTACGTACACGCTAGCCGTATATATGCGTATAAATTATATGTCGAGTGTTGATTTCGGTTTTATACGAGCGGTCGTAAAATCGAATTCTCACTCGTAAAATTTGTGTTTAATTACTATCTTCGATTTTGCTTTACGACGATTTCGACGTGTAACGCTGGTTGGTGGTGTCTCTTTTTTTTTTTTTTTTTTTTCGAA